TAGCATTGAGCCAAGCATTCCTTTAAGGTCAACTAGTAATAACTTCAAAAATGGTCATAACCATCTGACAAAGGTAACATTATGTACAGCTACTTTCAGTACTGTTAATCAAAGAAAAAGAGTTAATAAATATTTATACACACCTCTCTGTATTTGGATACGAGTTATTATTCATCTCTAGATCTCTTCCACAACGTCTCTTTGTCCCGTCTTCCTCCCTTCAACCCCAACCGGTCGCGGCAGATGGCCACCCATCACCGAGAGTGTTTCTGCTGGAAGTCTTTTCCTGTCAAAAGGGAGTTTTGCCTTCCCCTGTCACAAAGTGCTTGCTCATAGGGGGTCATCTGAACGTTGTGGGGTCTTTGCTCTCCAAGATAAAGTGTCTCAAGGCCACTGTTGTTTTGATTAGGCCCTGTATAAACAAAACTGAATTGCTTTCATTTACCTTTTCCCTCAGACTGAAGCTGCCAAACTGGTGCCAATGGGCTTCACCACAGCTACTGAGTTCCATCAGAGGAGAGCTGAGATTATCCAGATCTCTACAGGCTCCAAGGAGCTGGACAAACTCCTACAGGGTTAGTCTAATGTAGCTCATGCTTCATTGAGGAGATCTCCCTGATTAGCAGTTCATAGTTATGCAGCAAACACAATGCCAGTGATGGTTATGTGCCCTAAGCTGGTTTTATTAGATTTAAACTAGGGATGTTCCTCGTGACCACCATTTAAATAAAAGTTGCAAAACAAAACAATAAATCATGCAGCCATTTTTTGTTTACTTATCAGAACTCGGGCAGCAGCAGGGAGGCCCAGCCTCGCACATCAAATTTAAACCTTTTTGCTCTCCTACAGGTGGGATTGAGACGGGTTCCATCACAGAGATGTTTGGAGAGTTTCGGACGGGGAAAACCCAGCTGTGCCACACACTCGCCGTCACCTGCCAGGTACAGTGTGTTCAACAAACCTAAGTGGTGCCAGAAGAAGTTAGAAAGCCAGTTTCTATCATCAGCGTGTGTTATGGAGGATCACAAGCAGCTCGCTCAGAAACTTTTAGGATTGCTTTACAAATAAGTTGTTGATCTAGAGAGATGTAACCATGGTGACCGTCCACAGCTACCCAT